CCACTCGGCATCGTAGTGCTGCGGAATGGAGAGCAGAATCACTTGTAGTAACCCTGTCCACCACGCGATCTGCTAGTCACACTGCCTCGAGTACAACATCGGATGCGAAGTGCTGCTCCGCGTATCCCTTGTGTTCAGAACCATGCGAGGGGTTGGTACCACAAACGATGAGCTGGTGCTTCCAGAATTGGCGCCAAGGTACTGTATTTTCCCTCGGTGGTTGCTCAAGCAAGGAATCTCAGCTGCGTAGATTTCCCACGGTGTTGGGTTAGGACATTTGGGAATATTTCCAAATAATCCTCTCCTGTTTCCAAATGAGCATTGATGATAGCCAATCCAGTATGACCTTATGCACGTCCAGTTTAGCACGGAGGCCATCGGTAGGCATCGGTGTCTGGCGCACATATTGGGATAGGTCTTCTGGTGCCATCATGTGTTGTCTCATTCTGTTACTGTCCTTGAAGTAGCGTTGATGTAGAAGATGTCTCAGCTACCCAGCATCAGTGTTGAAGTCTGCTCCATTTCGGCAAACAGGGGTGTCATTGGAGATACGCGGAGTCCACTATCCGGAGTGGCGTCGACGCTCCATTCCACGCCTATCTGCTTCCGTGGAGTTGGTGATGATGATGGATTGGTTGCGACGCAGGTTTTATGACTTTAAGGAAAGCCATAGGCCATGAGGACTTGTATACCGGTAGAGTACCGCGGTCCTCCCATCCTCATAAGAGCAAATATCTTCTACTCTTGAGGGTATATGGCATTGCCATGATGTTCCCTCGCATAGTGGTATCTCCTTCCCACTAGCTGGAAATCATAGGACTGTGCCTGGCCGGGACTTTACGATCCACTGGAATATAATCCAGCAGGATCTCCATTGAGTGGAGAATCATCCATCAGGATTTGGTTGTGACTGTTGTGTCGAGTCTTCTGCTGCGGCGGCGGCGGCGGTTGCGACGATGGCGACGGCGGCAGCTCCTGCAGAGAATTCTCTCAACTCGTACCAGTTGAAGGAGAATCCATCAACTCCCTCTTCCCAGTAGAGTGTTCCTGATGGGTGTAACAGGCGTAACTACCAGGAACACGTGCACATTAGTACACATGTGTTGCTCCATTGCTGCCGGTGATTGTTTCATTTGAGGGTGTGAAGAGAAATTTGCTTCTCCCCTCAATGTATCCACGGTTAGCAATTCCTGGTATGCTCATCTGTGCCTCCGATGTACGGTCGGTAGAGCGCGTGATCGTGTTGTAGTAGTCCGCATCTCCCTAATTTGTTGACACCTCGTGTTGCTTGACGTTCTCCTGCATCGTCGAAGTTACGTTGGTGCTTGTAACGCTTCGGCTTCTGGTAGAATCGCCTCCAATGCATGTGCCGTAGGGTCGCTAGTGAACGAGTACTTGCCGGATTAGAGGTTAATTACTCCTCAATCTGTCAAGCATCGTGACATGCACGGAATTTTCTTCCACGCAGGTCATTAACACCTGGAATCGCGACGCATGATTGGTTTGTCGCCTCGTGAGGTCGATGTTGAGACTGCTCCAATCAATCACTTCGGATGGCTGAGATTCTTGATGAAGACGAATCGGTCAGCTCCTGTTACGAAGTAGTGTCTCGCTGGCCTTGACGAGATGGGTTCACTGCGTCGTCGTTGCGTGCGAAATCTGCTCCTTCGTAGCAACTTGAACTTGGGAGCATTGCAAGAGAAAACGGTTACTTCTCCGCAATCCCATAGGTTGTCGATCAAATTGTATGAGATTAAGAGTCATTGATGGAGAACATGTCTTCACGCAGCTCCATTGTTTTTCCTGGGTGAAGATCTCGCTGTGTTGATGTCGATCCATTTTTAACGAAGATGACTTCGTCAAAAAAACTCGATCGTTATCCACACTAGTCAGAAGATGCGTCGATTGTGGAGTCGCTGGTCACGAATGTTGTCTCCATGATGATGATTTCCCATAGTGTAGTCTCTGCTGCATTCGTGCCGTTGATTCTGCATCGATTCGACGATCCACGTTCTCCTGTCAGTTTTCTGCTTGCAGCTATTACCAAGTAGGTAATAGTCTGGCAGATTACTGACATTGCAGATGATTCGCGCTCCAAATTCATGACCAAATGGAGAAATCCGAATTTGGTCGTCAAGATGTTGTCAGCGCTGTCAAAGGCGGCCAATTTCTGGTTCTGCGCGTCATTCTCCCTTCGTGCAGAAGTCGCGCTCCATCTCGTCCGTTGAAGTAGAAGTCCATCCGACGGTCCAAACTCCAAGCGATCTGAGGATAATTCTGAGTCACGTTCAGCAGCTGTCGGTGTCCGGGTGGACTCGTTTCCTGCAGCAATTCTCGGTCGTCGATGTCGGCTGTCGAACGATCGGACGCTCTGAAAAACTTCGCAGCTTGCGAGGTCCCGTTCCCATTCGCACTGAAACTCGAACTCTCTCAGCAGGATTTCGTTTTCGCCTCGGTCGATCTGAAGCGTCGAATCCCCATCGGACGGATGTCGTCGGTCCAACCTCCGCAGAGTTCCGCACAACTCCAAGTGTTGTCGCGAACTGCGAACTTCTCCGAATGTTGCAGGGAGTGTTCCGCCGGAACTCACGCGCTCGCCAGGTCGAGGCCGTTTGCCCCCGCGAAAAATCGGCACCGTCGATGCAGTCCATCAAACGGTTGGCGAGGCATCTCGCCTTCGAAGGGGACCCCAGGTGCAACTGCGAGAGGTGAGTCGAAACTTAAATGAAAGTGCATTGTACTTACAGGAATTGAAGTTTCGACTCCATCCTCGGCGTGCTCTTGGGGGCCCAGCGGTTAAGCGTTGAGCTGAAATCTTGGCTCTGATTACCAAGTGTCAGAGGATCGAATGTCCCGAGGAAAGGTTTGCTCAATGTTGCCCTATCAATCAGTACAAGGGGCTTTTATACTTCCAGATTACATCAGGTAACCAGGTTTATCCTATCCAAAGGAAATAGACCCTTCTAGAAATAGAATCACCCTGCGTATAGCCGCGCGAGGCTATTGGCTTTAAGGGATTACGGCAGGATTACGCTAGATATAGCGCGCCAGTACATCCCGAGCCTGGTCGGTGATATAATTATAATAACAGGATAAACCAAAGGATAATGGAAAATGAGGAATAGGAAACCAAATGAGATGAGATAAAGACCAAATGAATCAGGATAAAGAGAGGAATGAAAGAGAAAGGAAATATGGAAAGGGGAAATTGGTGTAACGGGGTCGTACTCTCACACTGCTAGTGTAGCATGCAACGTGTCGTGCCACTCACGGGGCGCCTGCTGCAGACCGTAGACCGGGCGCCGGAGGAACCACTTGGACCCAGGGGGGAAAGAGCCAGAGAAGCTTGGCAGACGGCGCAGGTATGAATGCACGTCCAGACTGCCCTGGAGGAACGCTGTGGAGAAGTCAAATGAGTGAAGCTCGTAATCGCGTTGTGCTGCTACGTGAAGCAGCGCCTGAAGGGTGGTCATCTTCAGGGTCGGGGCGAAAGTGTGGAAGCAATCAACCCCCTCGTGCTGACTAGAGTTTCTAGCAACTAGCGCGCCTTGAACACCAGCGGCTCTCCTGGCAGGCACTTCATCTTGAAGAACCACCGGCCATCGACTACGTTCGCCCTAGGTGGGGGAACTAAGGACTACGCTAAGGCGAATTCGGGACCCTGGGACTGAGGACCGGCAGGGTCGGAGACTAGAGCAGTGGCGTAGTCAAGGCGGCAGGTAGAGGCAAAGTCAGCGACAGCAGCGACAAGAGTCGAGAGACTTGAGGCAGGAACAGACGGGTCAGTAACAAGTGAGGCGAGGATACGAGGAAGAAGAGGATAAGCTTCAAGGAGGAATTCAGAGAGAGGAGCCGAGGAGACAGCGAGGGACGACGGAGGTGGCGATGGGAGAACAGGAGCGGGAGGAGCACGGGATGCATGAGAACGAAGTAACATAGGGTGGGAACGCGGATCTAGAGAGACGGGACGAGCACGAGAGGGACGGTGAGCCCACCAGCAAGAGGGGGGCGTAGGTTCAGGAGACTAATGGCAGAGACACAGGAGGAGAACGAGGGGAGAAACGAGCCAGGGATGAGTCCGCCAGAGGGAACACATGGCCATAGATAGGAGGAAGGGGCGGCTCTGGGGGGGGGCACAATCGGCCGGTCGGGGGAGGGAAGACCGAGGAGGCGAAAGGCGGATAATGGCGGTGACGGCGGCTGCCACGGCTGCTGTTGCTGCTGCTGCGGTCGCTCGGCGCCCACATTAGAACCTCTAGCCGCACCACGGCTAAACTTGCCACGACAGCACCCCGAGGACCAGCACCCCCAGAGCTAGCACCCTCCTCAAAGGCAGCACCCCCAGCACCAACACCCCAAGAGCCCATAGACCCCTGCTGCTGCTGCTGCTGCGACGGCGACGATAGCAGCTGCTGCGAAGGCTGCTGCGGCGACTGCAGCTGCTACAGCGGTGGAGGGGACATCGAGGCTGGGGGTTCAGGTGCCATAGAACTAGGCGGCAAACCCTGAGCCTCACGGCCTCTGGAGTCAGCAGACTCCTCTGCCGGGCCAACCGAAGGAAGGGGAGTGACATGAGACACACCAAACGGGGCAAGACATGGAGCGGGAGCTACTGGGGGAGTGGGGATAAGGAACAGGGGCGGGGTAATGGTAAGACCTCGGTGGAGAAAGCGGGTGTAGAAGGAGATAGACTCATCAAAGGTGACGTCACGTGAGTGAAAGAACCGTTGAGACAACGGGTGGTAAAAGTGCCAGTCAGACGCGTCTAGGGGGGAAAAAAGAAAGGCACAAGGGACGGTGTGAATAGTAAGCTTGTCCGCACGAGAGTCGCGGACGTGAGCTAGGCATCTCCATACGTAAAACGTAGATGTGTTACCAGGGGACCCAGTCCAGAGAAGGGTCGGCGAAACCTGCGAGCGCCAACAGCGGGGCCACAGGTTAAGTTGGTAAGCGGCGTAGCGAAGTGCGAACGGCCCTAGAAAATAGGGTGCACCGGCATG